TTATAAAACTGTACTCATAATATATGCACAATTTTTTTCAATACGGTCTTTTCAAATACCATTCTACAGTATCGTGAATACTTGAAGTTTCTACTTTAATTCTGAAAAGACTTCCCAGAGAAAATGCTATCAAATGCTATTTGCCCGCAGGACTGGTACCCCCGGTGTTTTTCTCTGAGTGGATGGGAGTTGAACATTTACACTCATTCCCCTTAGAATCCTTAATTTTTTTCAAATATCACAAGGTTGATGGATTAAGATGTGGTGGTTATCTTCCTGTGCCAACAGTGAATGCTTCAGGGAGAAAAAGCAGACCAGTTGGAAAGAAGGAAGTCTTTGTTTACCCAAATGTGTTTTTAATTATAGTATTAACAAAGATAAAGCAAAACTAGGGAAGCGCAAAATAATCACATGGGAGTCTAAGAAAATAAAGTCTATTTACTTATTCTAAACCTATTGTTTCTCCAAATATTGGACCTTTTTTCTCTTTACTAGTATTTCTGTAAGAAACCCCAAATTAAATGTGCCTTTGCTTTAGCCACTAAGTAATTATAGAGGGAGAAAAATGACCAAATATAAAATAAATCATGTTGGCATTTAAAGATTAAAATGAAGACACAGCTTGATCAAAGAGATTTATTTGTTGATATTTGTTCATCATTATGAATATTTCAAATCTTATGTAGTCAAAAGTGATCCATTACTTTTTCCCAGGAAGTGATAATACTCCCTCCAGTGTCATTAACAATGTTAATCTTGGTCAAGGTTCCCGCCATGAAAAATGTATAAAAGCAGTGTTGCTATGGTAACTATTCTAGATCAGTGTTTCCCAGCCCTTACCATTCACTTATATCGGCATAGTATCATGGGCAAGATGTCCTATACTTACATGGATACATATATACATATACAAGTATACAATAGGCTCCCCTCCCCTTTCACAGAGAACTTTTTTCTTAAAATAAATAACACTAAAACATACATGAAATGAGCTCCATTAATAGGGAAGCCATTTGTTCCTCTATAGCTTCTTGTGCCTTTCCTTAGGGCACTTGCATGCTTTATCTGAATAATCAAACAATTTCTTTCTGCTACCCCGTGAGCACTCGTGTGGGCCCTTTCCCTTTAGCCCCACCCCATTTCCTCTACTTGATTAATGTGTTCATCAGAGATCTTTCGGTTGGAAGTAACCGAGATGCACTCAAGCTGGTTTAGACGGAAAGAGGCATTTACGGGAAGCACACGGGTGTTTCACGACCCTTAGGGAGGCAGCCCCAGGAAGAACTAGGACCAGACATCAAAGACCATCAAGCTGAGTGCAGGTTCTCTCTGGGGCCTCATGCTCTCTCCTCATCTGCACTTCTTTCTTTCTCCCTTCTCCTGGCACACTGGCTACTGGGGGAAATGGCCACTCCCCAATGCCCTCTCTGCCCCCAGTCTGCACGCTCATTGCAAATTCTTAAACTGTGGCCTTAGGGGTGGGAAGGAGGTGTCCATTAGCCTTCCATTACTGGAACAAGGGATGGAGAGGACTCAGGAAAGAGATGGAGGGAAGGCATGAAACTGAAAAATATTTTGGTAATAAATATTTCTGACACTTGCAGAACCTGAAGTAAGAAAGTAGAGCTCACCTACATATTTCTAACTTGCCGCATTTCTCTTTGTCTGCCCCAATATATCAAAATTAGCCAGCCTTTTAAAAACCTTCTGGGGGGTATAAACAATGTATCTAGCTCAAGTCCTTTTGGGAAATGAGGAGGGTACCAATTCTAAGTAAATAAATAAATAAGCGTCCTTCCTGGCACATTAGAGTGTTAGGGGAGGATAAGAGCAAAGCCAGAGGGGGCATCTCAGTCTGTGGCCCTCACTGGACCACACCTCACAGGATTAAGAGGAGTGGGAGGAAGGCCCTGGCTGGGTGGTTCAGGTGGTTGAGGTGTCATCCCATGCATACCAAAATGTTGCAGGTTTGATTCTGGGTTGGAGTGAGTATAGGAGGCAATCAATTCTCTCTCTCTCTCTCTCTCTCTCTCTCTCTCTCTCTAGAGGCCCGGGGCACAAATTCATGCACAGGTGGGGTCCCTTGGGGTGGCCTGTGAAATCGGGCCCCAACTCATGCCCCCAGCCTCGCAGCCCCGCCTGGCACCCCACCTTGGCCTGGCGCCGCCCCCTCATCTGTTCCACCATCCTGCCTGCATGGTGATCGATTGAGGTTGGGACCCTGCCCAGCTCTCTCAGCACCTGGGAGCCGGGTGGCCCTGCCCCCCACCGCTGCTGCCGCTGGTCACCATCTGTGGGGCGATCGGTGGGGTGATCGAGCCCCCACTTGCACTCACCTTGGCCTGGCACCGCCTGCTCACCTGCTCCACCATCCTACCGTAATCCCGCTCTTGTGGGGGCCCATTAGGGCCAGCAGTGCTTCCACTGCCTCCTGCTGCCAGCGCCGCGTTGCTGCACCCACCATGTTCCATGCCGCCCACTGGTGGTTAGTGCACGTTATAGCAAGCAGTCTCTTGGTCTAACGACCGCCAGAGGGGACAATTTGCATATAAGGCTTTTATTATATAGGAAA